TCATTTACTAAGTAAATTATCATTTTCTCTTCTATTAAGCCACATCCTTAACTGTCTATACACACACACACACATGCGCACACACACACAATCTTTTCTGTTCACTGCTCTGTTTGTCTACTTCTGTACCAGGATCAGAGATTTAACATTTGGAAGGGACAGTTCAATGATTATTCCTCTTTTAAAAACCTTTCTTGTTTTAGCCATGTTCCCCCCACCACCATCATTTTATTTAGTATCATTCTAGGAAAAATGAAAGCTACTGATGTTCTGATTGGGAACTCACTGAATTTACAGAATAATTTAGGGAAATAGGCATTTTAAACTACACTGAATCTTCCTATCAAAAATTTATTTATGAAAATCTTCTTTTCAGTCCTTCAGTAGTTTTAAAGCCTCCCCGCCCCAACATGGTTTCCACAAATTTATTATAAGGTTTATTCCTGGATATATTATTTTACTGCTGCTACTGTAAATGGAATCTCTTCTTTTATTATGCTTTCTAATGTCCATAAACAACTTCTTGAATTCAACCTCTGTAGAGCCTGACTGTCCGAGCACTTACAATTTTACTTGATTGTAAAATACAATTAAGATGCTCTGTGTGGCAAGAACAATTACAATCACTTGTTTGAGTCCAAGAAGAAAGGGCCTTGGAGAGACTGACAATCTCATCATTAACAGCTGCATAAACCCGTTAACTCTGGGAAGAGAAGCCATGTAGATAACGGGCTTTCAGGTTAAAGTATGGCATCACACTTCACAGAATGTAGAGATGATTCTACCATGAGTGTTATTCCAAACGGCAGGGCAAGGTGAATGTCTTTCCACCCTTGTTTCCCAAGTGTTCTCTCAGGAAAGCTTTTTAAAATCTTAAGGTTTTCACACAGTATCAAAAAAAATCCCACTATCACTGTCCCCCCACCCCACTTTTGTCACCACCTGTTTTCCAGACGTTTCAACATATCCCTTAAATTTAGAAACAATCTTTTACCAAGTGTCCAGACTGTAGCCCATATAGTATTACGAGACAGCCCAAGGCCTGGCCTCCCTTTGTGTTTCAAATACTCAATTAATGGAATAATTATAGGTCTGTGTGCCAACATGATTCCTCAGGGAACTTTCCCTCAGCCCCACACTTCCTGTCTGGAGCACCTGTCTAGGTTCCCAGATCGAATGCCCTCACCGCACCTTTCAATAACTTTTATAGCATTTATCACAACTCATAATCAGGTAGCTGGCTATCTGAATATTTGATTAAAATCTGTCCCACCACTCGACTGTAAAATCCATGAGAGCAAAAGCCAGGCCTGCTTTGCCACCTGTTCATGTCTAGTGCCTAATGCAGAGCCTGGAACAAATATTTGTTGAACACACGAGAAATTAATGTAACAGGGAGAAACCACAGAGTTAGGGCAAAGCTAAGTAAGACCAAAAAGTTGCACATGATTCAGGACCGTATTTTTTCTAATTGCTTATATTGCCGCCTCCCCCCAAACTTCCCTCCTCTCCTCTCCGGCGAGGAAGATGTCTTCCACAATGTCCTCACTGCTCCCAGATCCACGGTTCCTTCCTTTGGCCCCGACACCCAGTCATGCCTGGGGAGACTGCACATGAGAGAGGGGAGGGCAGGCTGCAAAGCCCCTCTGCCCACCTGAGTCAGGCTGGCCTGGCTTAAAAGCCTCATTAGCATGGCTGTTGCCCTCTTCCTGACTTCTGGGCCCTGGAGCTGCAGAACTTCTGCCTCACTGTGCCTGGCCGGGATCTCGGTTTCCTGACGTATTGGTACAGTGGGTAAAGGCTGAAAGCAGAAGGGGACTCCTCCAAAGGCGCCCTGGACAGAACACGCCAGCTGCTGCCACGTGCCCTTGCCCTGCGGTGCTTCCAGATCGTTGCGACTCCTTCTGGGTAACAGCTCAGCAGCCGCAAGGTCCCTCTGCCCCTGTGGCCAAGACCTGACTAGAGCACAACACATTCCTACAACTGTCTCCCTGCTGTGTGAAAATCAAAAACCCACAGGCACTGGAAACATTATCTGATGCTACGTTACTTTTATAAAAGTACATTTTTGACCACTGTTAGTATGAATTCCTCATGGGCTCAACATTTTTATAAACAGGTGAATGGATTTATAAAATAAGTTCAAGGGACAGAGTTATCGACACTGACAGTACTTACAAATCACAACCACAGTATGTGCAAAAGCATTCTGGGCCTGTTACCTCCTGGAAGGCACACACGTTGTAGACACACACACAGATTCTGCTGGGTGGGGGAGGCCGACTACCGTGGGAGGCAGTACCAGCTGACTAGGAAAAACAGGGCTGTGGACGTGCTGAACGGCATCGTCTGGCTTAGTTCTGCTTTAACTGTGATTCTGAGTTTCTCCCCACATCCTCAGTTTGTCATTTATTCAACAAGTACCTGTTGAATGCCTACTCTATCCAGCCACTGCACTAGGTATCAGGCAAAACAGACAGGGTCTTAGCTCTCACAGATCTACAATTGAGAAGAGGAACGTTCTTTGTGTGATTATCTGGTTAAAATCTATCCAATTATGAGCTGTGACAAACATTATGAAGGCTAATTCCAAGTGCTATAAGGGTTACAATGGGGGGACCTTGACAAGAACAGGGGAGGAGGAAAGCTGCCACCGACCCGAAAGTGGTCTCTTTAGAACATAATAAAATCATGTATACAATTATTTTACCACCATTTCCTGACATTAGCTGGGGTTGTGGGGAAGGGACAGGATGGATAGTATATCAACCTGGGTGTCTGCAAATGTTAATACCTTCCACCACTCTTGGGAAGCAAAAGACACACAGCACATGTAGACACACTTGTACATCCAGCATCTGTACATTCTGTCTTCCCAGAAGCCAGCTGGAGATGAACCCAAGAAGCCAAACTGCTTCTGGGCCTAGGAGTGCTAAGGGCCATGAGAGGACTTTGCTCACACATGTTCTATGTGCTACTGCCCCTAACGGGCTCACAACCCAGCATGGCACATTAGCAGATGCTACCTAAGTGTAGGCTACGTTATCTTCCCTCCTTTCTCACAGAAGCAAGGAAGAATACCTTCTGCATAAGTCCTCTTAGGGACACAGGGGGCTGGCAGATAGAGGGCCACGGCCGTCGTCAACACAAGGAACTCTATCATAATGCTGTTGTGAGGAATCAAGGCCTGAAGGCAGGAAGTTATGACTCTTACCTTTGGGTCATCTCCAAACTGGCCAAATTGTACATCATTTAATAAACTACGAGCTGTTTTGATGATATCTTTACATTTTTTTGGTGTTTCTTCTACTTTCCCAGCCAGAAAGAGACAACAAGCTCCTGTCACCTAAAAGGAAGACAAAAGCTCCTGAGACCCTGTTATCAAAGCTCACACAGAAACAGAAAAAGCATTTTGGGCCTTCACAACAAACTGGGCTCCCTCACTCTCCTCCCGGCTTCTTTCTCATTTGCAAACACCTGGACACTCTAAAATCTTGAAGGAAATGTCACATACAAATACTCCACCCGCCCCGCCATTTGGCTTCATAAATTATTTTAAATTTAGTTTTCTGAATAAAATGTCATGTAAACAAAGTAGCCACCAGAAAGGGAAAAAAGTCACAGAAACAAATTTTCTTTTCACATTGCAATCTTAAAGACACTGACTCCCTGACTGGTGCACCCAAATGCATGTCCTCTGGAATTCGCCTCTGCACCACTGCCCACGCTTTCTTTTTCCTTCCTCACGCTGCCTGGCTCCTGGTCCAGTTCCTACTCCACTGCGATCTTCTCACTGCTCTACCTTCAGCTTTTCTTTGCCCGCTCGCTCCAGTCTCTCCTACATGCCCCTCCCTTCACAGAATCCTGACCACGTTAGACATCAGTGAGATCCTGTGCCGGGGTACAAAGCGGATCCGGACACAGTCTCCTTCCCCTAGAACGTCACAAATTAATGAGGAAGATGTGTACAAAACTAAGTAAAATCTTAGCAAAAGGAAGACCCCCAGCAGACTAACTTCCTGTTACATCTAATTCTTCTTCTTCATGAAACCCTTCCATCACTTCAGTTTACCTACTGAAGCCACAGTTCCCTAGTCTGGCATTCAAGGCCCACTATGGTCTGGTTCAGTCTACCTTAGCACCCAGGGCCCCAGCATGCCCTTCCCGCCGACAGGCCTCCTGGCTGCCGTGCACGCCTCCGCCAGGCCTTGGCTCATGCTGCTTTCTGTAGGACTGCTGCTCTGTCCCATCTCAGCACGGGTAAGTCCTACTTACAGTCAAGGCTTAACCCAGTGCTGGCACCTCCTCCCCAGCATTTTCCTCGATCCCTCTATGATGTAGTTAATCTCTCCCTTGAATGCTACAGCCTTCCTTCTGTACCTCTCCTATGGCCTCACTCTCTACAGTGTGTTTTGTACCTGTCATACCATATACCCTGGACTGAAAGCTACCTGAGGCAGACTCTCGCACAGAGCATAAGACAGTCCATGTCTTAAAGATTAACTGAAGAATAACGGATATGGCATAAAGAACTACTATGCAGTCTTGGCCTTTGTTGGGTCTCAACTGTAAGGCCAATTTTATCTTGGGAAAAGTAACAAGGAAGCAAATTTTCACACTAAGTACAATATGATTATGGTTCATATTGGACTAAATAAAAAACTTAAAAATACTTTAATACAGTTAATTGGGAAAAAAACAAATTTTAGGCTGTTTTTGTTTATATATAATATGTACCATACAAAAATAAATACTTTCTGGAAAATAAAATAAAAAGAGAGACTACAATCTGTCCACTAAACTGTGTGGAAATAATAACATGTGATAGAAAATTATAATAAAATTCAAACACTTACATATCTTGGGAATTGCTTGAAGGAATGAAACATATAGAAGCGATGAAAATAAATTATTCCAGTTGCCAGGGTATCATAGTGTCTGTTGTTCTGGTTAAGGGTTTTAGCCAAGAATTTTTACAGGTTACGTCTTAGTTAAATGTGGAAAAAACAATAAAGACAAACAATAACAACAAGAGCAGTGGGAAAGCAAACACTATCAGTGGCAAAGCAGGTGAATGGGAATCTCCGGGTGTCAGAATTCTGGTACAAGCTGAAGTCTATGCTTTAATAAGGCAGGGCTTCACTATCCTTTAGAAATACTTCAACTGAGGTCACTGGGTGCTATTTTCCATCCTGGTGGCCACCTGCTCAAAGGCTAATTCTACACATTTAAATGATAAAAAGGAAATAGAAAATCCCTGAAGAGCCAAGCAAATCTGAAGTAACATTTAAATAAGAAAGCTAATTAAGAGCTGCTTTAGTCAGGGATGTTACTTGGTCTTTTGTCTATAGCATTTAATTTAATTTGTGGTGGTGGTGGGGAGTCTGTCTATCATAGATCCCAGAATCAGGATACAGTCCCAAACGTGTGCCCACATCAAAGATGAACCGAGCCCCTTCTCGGCGGTAGCGGGCCTCAGTGGCCGGATCGAGTCCTTCTAGTTGAGAGGGTGTATGAGCCAAGTCTTTTTTATCCCAGTACCAACATGGTTTTGTGTGGTCCAGGTTTGCTGAGGTTACTGAAGGGCTTGAATTTTCTTTATTCTCCTTCATTTATTGAAGTAGACTTGTTCTTTCCAACAGACTTTCTGAAAATGTTAGAATCCTAAAAGAAAGAGAAGCAGCAGTAATGTTGGAAAGGGATACCTCACGTTAAATAATCCCAATCATTATAAACAGTCTACGATCACAGATTTGTACTTGATAAAAATTTTTCAATAGAAGAAGCACTACTGATTGGTAGTTAGAAGCCCAGGCGTACCTCCAAACACAAATTTAGCACTTAAGTGACTCACAGTACGATAAATCCCAAATTTCATCGCTTAAAAGGAGGAGCTTTTCTGTCTCATTTCCTTCTGCCTTTTTTCACTAGGCCCACCTCCCTTATGCTGGTCTAGATTCTGTTCTTCAGTAAAACCCAGGTTGGTCCTAACTACCCCAAAAGATTTATCCTCCAAAATTATCCATTTCTTCCATCCAGCATCCAGTCAAAATTTTCCCTTTTTTAGTTTACTTGATTTCATTTAGGTACTTTCACTTAGAAAAGCCACCAGACTGGATGAATTCGTATCTGCACAAGCCACTGAACTGAGCAATGTAGATCGGGTGTGGGTGCAGTGATCTGGGGAGAAAGGATGGAGGGAGGTAGTCCACAAGGGAAAGAAGGAGTTCCTTTAAATTTTTCTTGCTTTCTCATCCTCTTCTCTTTCATTCAGAATGAAGAGATTCTCTAAAAGCTGTATGCTGAGAAAAGAAAACAAAAAATAAGTACTCTCACCTAGAGGCCATTATAATATGGAAATTGTTTGTAAACTGGATCAGAGAACAGACATTTTCATACAGGGCAGCAAAAGGGTTCTAAAAGAGGTAGCTAGAACCAGGTTGGTCTGGTTCAGCAAGAAAATAGCAGTTCGGCAGCCAGGCTCTGGGCCAGGGCCATCAGTTAATCTGAAAGCCTAACTTCTCCTGTGTGCTGCCTCATTTCTTGTGGGAAAGGTGACATGGAGGGCTGACCGCTCTCCTCCTTGCACCTGGGAGCTCTAAAGAGAAACGTTCCCTCCAACAGGAAGAATTAAGTACCACCTGGAGAAAAGTAATCTTCTTGAACTAATTTACACTCTGTGTGACTGAACTCCCCAACGGGTGGGGGCTGGGGGAGACCGGTTAACTAAAGCCTCAGTGTGTATGAAGAGTTCCCAATCAGATGCTCAGTAAGAGTATGAAGAGCTGGGAGTTAGATGTCATACTAGATATATTTTCTCACCTATCAGATTGGCAAAAAGTCCAAAAGTTTGACAATATACTCTGTTGGCAAGGCCAGGGAGAAGCAGGTAATCTCTTATGTCGTTGGTGGGAGTACAAAGCGGAACCACTCTCACAGAGGGGAATTTGGCAATATCTAACAAAATTACATACACATTTGCTCCTTGATTTAGCAATTCCACTTCTAAGTATTTACTCTGACAATAAGATCACAAATATGAAACAACAAGTGCACAAGATCATTCAAAGTACTGTTTATAACAGCAAAAACTGTAAACAACGTGAAAGTCCATTAGGGCACTGGTTGAATAATATGGTACATTAACACAAATGCGTACCATGTAGCTATTAAAAAAGACTGAGAAAGATCTTTAAGTACTTGTATAAAGAAATTTCCAGGATCAGCAAGGTGCAGGAAAGCATACATAGCTATGTTAGTATCTAAGTAAGAGAAGCGGGGAAATACAAAGTAGAAATATCTATATTCTTTTTTTCTTTTTTTTTGTGGTACGCGGGCCTCTCACTGTTGTGGCCTCTCCCGTTGCGGAGCACAGGCTCCGGACGTGCAAGCTCAGCGGCCATGGCTCACGGGGCCAGCCGCTCCGCGGCATGTGGGATCTTCCCGGACCGGGTCACGAACCCATGTCCCCTACATCGGCAGGCAGACTCTCAACCACTGTGCCACCAGGGAAGCCCCACAACTGAGTTTTGATAAATTTAATAATTCCTGGCAAATTTACATCTTGCTAGTTTTGGTCTATAATTTCAGCCTTTAAGAACTCTTGAATCCTGAGTGCCATCTAACATACTGGCTAACTATCACTACAGGTTTTGAGTGCATTTATTAATTTGAGAAGCATGCCTCATATATTTAAAGTTGGTAATAAAAAAAAAAGTGCTAACCAGAGTAAGGGCAAGGCCAGAGCCCTGCAACTTATCTCTAAAGACCTCTCTTCAGGTTGACATCAACCCATTAATCAACATTTGGGGTTTGGTAATTTCAACGGACATATATCCATCTAACTAGACCTTACCCAGTATACTTCTCTCTTGTGTCTATTAGGATAGGAAGAGGGATTATGTTCAGTGTCCTAAGGAAATCTAAATAGACTCATGTCTAGCAATCCCCCATCCACCACCAGTCTAGTAAACTTATAACAAAAGAAAACATGATTTGTGTCACCTGGTTTTCTTAAATTGAAGCTCTGTTGGTTTGAGGGTATGAGCCCTTTTTCCCAAGTACTTAGAAGCTCTCTTCTTGTTGTCCCAACAAGACTCTAAAACAGATTACTAATAAGCTCTAGCATCCAAAGCCACATAATTGCTCTCTGCAAAAACTGACACATTTATCAGACTCCAGTCTTCTATCATTAACTGCACTTTTAAGATTCCTCAAAACCTATGAACAATAATTTCACAATCTTATCTGCATGTATTTTGGTATATCATTTATTTGACCCTGAAAATAGAATTAGATGTAATCCAATTAGATATTCTTTATAATCTCCTCAATTACCTTGAACTTAATCATTCTTGATTTTGTCTTGACCTAGTTTTAGAGACAACAAAACATTTTTCCTTCTAGATACTTAGCAAACTCTCATTGCTTTCAAATATAATCTCCTGAAACGAACAATTTATTTTGTAAGCCAAAACTATGACCATTGATTTTCTTTATGACGTTCAATTTTAGAAATGGCATTTAAGATTTAACAATCTCATTAGCAATTAAAATGTTTCTTTATTGCTTGTTGGTGTAAACTACGTTTTCAAAATGGAACAAATGTTTAACATGCTTTATACAAGAATCAACTAATGTTTCTCAACAAAGCATCAAAAGATAATCAAAAGGAGACAAAAGTAAAAAACAAAACAAAACTAAAATTAGACACCAACGGTAGTCACTCTGAAAAAACAAAACAATCCTGGATAACTATTACATTCATAGTCAAGATTATTTAACAAGCAGGCATCTAAGAACACTAAGAATCTTAACCAAATGTCTATCAATACCGCAACTATTACCATCATCCATCCATTCATTCAGCAATGAAGACAGTTTACTATCTGTCAGGCAGGCCTCTAGGTGCTGAGGATATAAAGCTCCTTCGTGGAGCTTTCATTCTAGCAACATCATTCATACAAACCTTAACCAGCGCCAGAATTGCAAGGCAGTGTGCTAGGTATCTTTAACGATACACAAGAGATACACAAGCATTATCAAGTTTCCCTTAAAAACATAAAACAGGCCATCTTCAACTAAATGCTGTGAGAAGCCGTTCCTAACGTCAGAATATTTAGCGAAAGCTCCGTTTGACTGGCAAGCCAAATTTCGGGAGCGCTACCGACCATGCTTTGTGCGGGGAATAGTCTGAGAGCTTTTAGATATCCTCTTGCCTTACGCCTCAACCTTCTAAAGAACAATTCCTCTAGTAACAAACCAAACAACCCAGGAGAGGGTCGGTTAGCGTAATGTGTCGGCAAGAACGAAACTAACCGCGGAAGTGCCTTTTCCTCATTCCTAGTCCCACCCTTATTACACGGGTCTTCAGATTCCGAAGTCAGAGTACCCCAGATGTGGAACGATACCCAAAGTCTCAGGCGTTACCAAGGTTGGGACCGACACACTGCGAAATAACCGGAAAGACGTGGGTAGTCTTCGGTTGTACCGCTGAGTGTGTGCGCGCCTAAGACCCCTGTGCCCTTTCTCCCCACCTTCCAGAAAGTCCCCGAACCCTAACCGCCCTTCACTTGGAGCGTCGCTACCTGCTCTACGGTCCGCGCCGGCCTCCCTGACCCGCTCCTGCGCCTCAGACCCTCTTCCGGAGCACGTCTCGCGGCCCCGCCGTCGCCCGCTAACTTCGATCTGCACCCGGGGGGTAGCGGAGGGTGGCGGAATCCGGAAAGAGAGACTCCGCCAGCGGATGGAGGCAGGTGGCCATACCCTAATCCGACCTCCAGGTACGCGGGACTTGAGTGGCGATGCCCGCGGTCCGTCGGTCACTCACCCCTCGCCACAGACAAGCCCCTTAGCAACGTCTCTCCTTGTTGACTGCGGCCATCTTGGACGTGGAATGTCGGGGAATCTACGTCATCGCGCTGCGTCCGGGACTGGAAATAAGCGACCGGAGGGACGTCTGTCAACCAATGAGAAGAAAGTAGAGCTCTCAAACGTGGAACGAGCCGCCAGTCTTCTCCTGGCCCCTCCCCGCGGGTCAGCGGTCGCTGCGTGAGGGAGGAGGAGCCCACCAGAGGGCCCATCCCGTCGGAGAGAGGGAATTCGGGAGCAACCGAACCTGCTAACGGAACTTGGGCGCGAGAGGCGGGGCTCGGCGTGCCGGTCTTCCAATTAACGCCCGGGCATGGGCTCAGCCCAGCCAATTATGGCCCGGAACCTGGCGGGGGCCGAGCAGGCCGCTCTGGCCCCGGAGCCCGCCGGCCCAATGGCTGGGCAGGAACCCGAGCGGAACGGTCGGGGGGCGGTGGGGCGGTGCCGCGCCCATGCGACTGAACCGCGGGCCAATGGGCGGCGGCGGCGGCGGCTCGGGGGCGGGGCCTGGGGCGGGCGGAACCGGGTTGGGCTGCGGCGGCGGGGCCGTCTCAGGCAGCGGTCCCGCCCCCTCCTGTCCGGCCGCAGCCGCCGCCGCCACCGCCTGGGGCTTGGTTGAGGTGGACTGTGGGTCCCGGCGGAGTGTGGCGCCGCCGCCGCTGCGCGAAGGGGCAAGCGGGCAGGTGAGTGCCGGCGGCGGCCGCTCCGCGCGCGTGGCCCGCGGAGCAGACTCGCGTCGCAACCCCCCCCACCGCCCGGAGTGCTGCGAGGCTGCCCCCAACCCCGGCCGGCGCCCCTCGGCCGTGGTCCGGCCCGCGCCCCGCCGGCCGTTCTGGGCCCAGGGTGCAGGGGTCGGTGTGCGCCCTGGGGCCCGGCGGGCAGGGCTGGGTGCCGGGGGCCCGGCGAGGTCGGAGGGCGCCGCACGGTCTCTGCCCTCCGGCCTTCCTGGGGCGGGGGCGCGCTCACCGCTGCCCAGCGTCCCTTCCCGGCGGCCGTAGGTCCGTTCCCCGCTCTGCCCGCCCAGAGGTGGCAGCAGGTGCAGGAAGCGCCCGGCCCCTCGACACCCACCGGGTGGGGCCGGGGTCGGTCCCTCTCGTTTTCGTCGGCTCGGCTCTGCGTGGGGCTGGCTCGCGCACCCGTTTCCTTCCTCTCTCCCTCCCTCCCTCCCGTCGTCACTCTGCTGCTTAGGCGAGGACGGTGTGGCTCTCATGTTCCTCTCTCCAAACCTCAGGTGCCCTCGGGGGTGCTCGGGGACTAGCCCCTGCTTCTCTCCCTCACTTTCCAGTTATAAAAACAGTCGTTGAAAATAGGTCATGTTTCTTCCCACGCGCCCTGGCCATCTTCCCCACGCTCCGTGCCCTACTAGGGAGAAGAATTTAGTGCTTTGGAGTTTGTCATTCCAGCATCAAACTCTTCCTCCTCGTGGCTCCAGCCTGGCGATGCAACTGTGTATCCTCTATCCCCAGTGTCTACTCGGGAGTGGGGGGTGGGGTGGGCGGGGGAGGAGCCGATTAGCGTTGGGCGCCACTTGCGGCGGGGGAGGGGGTGGGCTTACCCCTGCCGTGTGTTGACTGGTGTAGGATCACTTGGGATCCTAAATGAAGGAGGTGACGTTTTGCATTTCCAAATGAAGGAGGTGATGTTTGGAAAGAAAAAATCCTTTTTAAAGTATGTTGACAGGTGAATTTTGCTTTTAAGAGCCTCCGAAGAGTTAACCCTTTAGTGATGGATCTGCACAGAGCTTGATTGTGGTGTGGTTACAACAGCTGTATGCGTTCGGCAGAAGTGGCAGAACTGGACACTGAGAAGTTTGAATTTTGCCGTGTGTAGATGATAACCTCTTCCTCCCCGATTTTTTTCTCCAAAATGACCCTACTGCTATTTCAAAACTGAAGGAACCAGAAATAATTTTGGAAAGGTTTTTCTTACCATTTTAAGTGAATGAATTTAACTTAAGAATATAGCAAAATAAACGCAGCTTTCCTCTGTACCCTTAAATTTTGGCAAGACTTGAGCCACGGTATATTGTGTCCGTGCAGAGTCTGCTATGTATGCAGTCTCATCTTAGCAGATTAGTCGCTGGGGCTGCTGTGATTGACAGTTGGGAAAAGTTCCAGCATTTTAAGGAGTTTTTCTCGGGCCTAGGAAAGTAATTTGAAAAGCCAAGTTCTCAGAGAGCCGCAGAACAGCTTGTTATTGGGCCCCAACGGCCTGTGTTTTCCTTCTGCTACCCCTTCCTGTCTGCCCTCTTTTATATATATTCAAAGTTGTAACTTAATGTCTGAAATGAAACTCTGGTCTGAACGAGTAAAATGGTTGCTGCTTCTCATCTCTTCTCCAGTGATCCCTGGGATAGGAATGGTGTTGGACTCGCAGATTAAAACATCTATGTCTACGTGTGCTGTAGAAATGAAAGTTTCTGTTCAGTTCTGTCGATAGGAGTGCAATAAGATTGTCAGGAAGAAAGTAACACTTGCTGAACACTTAGGCCCCGTTTTCAGTGACGATTAAACCTTTGCTTTAGAAGCCACTGGAAACTGAGAGAGCTGTGAAGGTTGTACTGAAATAGTTTTCCATTCTAAAGTTCAACCCCTGGAAAACTGTTTTGTTCTGAGAGCTCTGATAACTGGTCACAACCGTTTCCTTAAAACTTGCCGCTCTCATGATCCAGAAGAGAATGGCAAAGGAGATGACAGCTGGAGGAGAGTATCTACAGTACGCTGGAGTCTGCTCGCAGTAAATATTTAGCAGATAATCATTGAATTCAATGGGAACCAGGTACCTACTCTGTGGCGCGTGGAATTTTAGTAAAAATATGAATGAAAACCTTACCTCCTGGCTCAGGGTTTCTCTTTCTTTTTACTAGACGTCAGTTTAGTTTGAAGCTTTCCACATCTCTCCAAATGTTTGAATTACATAGTCTCCTTTTTTCTTATCACTAATCTGCAGTAGCTTTTAGAAATGTAACTAATAATACTGTATCTTTTTTGGTGTAGTTTGATGAATATCTATCACTGGGAGGTTTTTTTTATCTTTAGAAACTGGTTTGTCTTCTCTGGCTTCTGTGAGGAGTAGGGAGGAAGAGTTTCAAGTGTGTTTTCTCTTCGTGTACATCAGTCCTGGGAGTGGGACCTAGATTTTGTTCCCGCACAAAGGAAATGGAGTCATTTATTACTATGGCATTAAACATTTTTAACAGAATAGTGAAGAGTGAATATATCTTTATTCTTACGGTACTTTGGAAGTTGCTTGTGGCCAGTTAATTTGTTTTCTCAATGAACAAGAATTATATTTGGGCCCATTAATTTATCAGAAAGAATATTTTGATTTGCTGTGCATCCTTTTTTTCTTGCTACAGTTGAAGAAGTGTTTATCTTGGATAACAGTTCATTCTGAGTCATATTAAGGGTGTCAGATTAAGGATTCCTTGGCTTTTAAATTTTTCTGGTTTCCACTTTTGTTGCATATACAAGTGTACCTTACTTGGCAAAATTGACTTCTGTACGTTGGATTTCCTTATGTCATCTCATTTTCCTACTCATAAAATTGGAGATTGTTAAATAGTTTGATCTGCATATATAATTTACATAATATTTATTCTCAAAGTAAAAATAAATTTCTAACAATATTAATACACATATTTTATTACAAAGGAGTTGAGACTTTTTTTTTTTCAAGTCATTTTAATAGTCTTATGGGGAAAAAGTTGATTAACAGAATAGAATCCTTTTTGTTGTTAAATTCATTCAGTAACTCAAGCCAGAGATTAGCTGTGTAGACTCCATTTCCATTTGGGAGTTTCTTCTAGGTTTAGAAGTAAACAGATCATAAAACCAGAGGTACAAACACAGCTATTGACAATTTTCAACTGAAATATATTTGAATGGAAGAAAAATGATTCCAAATGATTATAAAATTCAAATACCAAAGTTAAGACTTTGAACATATTTTTCTTATTCAAGTCCTTTCCAAGTAGAAGTTAATTAATAATCAAGATAAGTCCAAACACTCTTGACTGGCAATGGAAGACAAGTCCAGCTCTGAAGTTAAGATTTTGAAAGGGAGCTGAGTGATACTGATTACCAAGCCAGAGTAAAATTTTAACCTCTTACATGTGTAGGCTGAATAATGGGGGTACAGAGGGATGGGGGGCAGAGGGACAGGGCAGGAAAAAGTGCTTTCACTATTTTTTAGAAGGACTAAAAAATTGTCTAGAGAATTAGATAAGCAGGTGTCTACATAGAACTCTTAATAAGTATGCAGTATTTTAGCCTTATTACCTATCTACCATCCTGAATTTCACTTTCCACTTTGTTTACGATACAGTTCATTAGAACATAACAAGGTCTAAAAATTCTATGACCAAACCTTTAAGGTTTCAATCTCAGAAAATAGTCCTGACTCTTCAGTATCAATAGTTTTCTGTTAAGCACAGTTAAGAGAAAGTAAGGGTTAGTGTTGAAAAATACTCATGAAAGTTGCCTTTATCATAAAATTTGGAAGTTTTGTTCATGTCCCAAATTTAAGCTGAGGCCACTCCTTTGTATTTGGACAAGGCCAGCATAATGACTCTATAGTTTTAAAAGGCCAAAGGGGTAAAAGCTTTACATGGTATGTTTTACAACTGCAAAGGAATACTGTTATTTAGAATTTCAGAGATAATGAACCTTCAGAGCCTCTCTAAGGGGGTTGGTTTTGCACTGAACCCATGAAATACTATTGGGCATCAGGGACGTTTGACATCGAGCTGTGCTGATGAGGCTGTGCTACTAGCTGTCTGTCATGCTGCATAAATTTATTAACCTCACTGAACTTCGGCTTTCTCATCTGTAAAGTGGGCATAATATCTTTCTTTGTCTAGTGTGTAAAATGCTTACCTCAGTTCCTGATATAGGAAATATGCCTGATGATGCAGTTATGATGAAGACGGTCATGTTGGGGGCCTGCCCCAG